TTCTGCTCCTGCAGCAGATCTTCCTGGGCCCAGCGCTGGGAGTAATGCTTCCCCAGAGGCGGGATCTGCAACAGTGCACAGGGAGCTGGCTCAGCACCTCCCCGGGGCAGGGAAGGGCTGTGTGCACCCTGCACCCACCCCGGGCATAACATAGTGCCAGCAGGCTCTGCAGGGAGCTGGTGCATGTCCTGTGAGGGCCCCACCTTCAGCAATGCCTGCCTGTGGCCCCGGCCCTTACCCTCCCAAGGTAGAGGGCAGAGGGCTGGGGGTCTCCCTCGGCCTGCTGTCAGGTGACGGGAGGAACCACAGGGCAATTGGCCAGAGGTCGGCCCCTGCACACAAGAACGGGGAGCGTCTCCTTCGGCACAGCCCTGGTGTGGCTGACAGCACAGCACATGCCAAGGGACCAGCTTGGGACCTGGGGTGCCAGCTGCAGCCTTCCTGGCAGGAGCTGACAGCACGAGCTTTCTCACTCCTGCACTTGGGGCAGAGGGGTCCTGGCCCTCTGGATTTCTGCTTCCCACAAGGTCTCACCCGAGTCTCAGCCACTCAGAGCAGCCAGCATGTGCCTGTCTGCCTGAGAGGTGGGGCTGCTGGGTGTGTGGGACAGGCCTCTGCCACCCCCGGGGAGTGCCAGTCTATGCCAAGCACCAGCTGCCCAGGAGTGGCCTCCGAACGGGAGCTCCAGGTGCCACTTCGGGAGCTGCATGAAGCAGACGAAGAGGCACTGTCATGTGGCAGTTAACAGGAACCGCCTTGCAGGGTGTCTGTTCCAGGGATGTTCGAGATCGGTTCGTTGACCAGTCAAGTAACCTCACAAACACCTATCGGTGAGTCGACTGGTCTGTAGTCCCCGGGGGCAGGGCCGGCAGCCGCTGTATCAGAGGGAGCAGCATGGGGCGCCAGGCGGGAGCTGGTCCATGGGGGGAGCCAGTTTAAAAACAAGCTCCCCTCGCGGACCGGCTGCCTCTTGCCCCACGCTGCTGCTGATAAAGAGGGCTAAGGAAGGTGCAGCCCACCACATGCAGGGGTCTGGCTCACTCTGCATGGGGCTGGCCTGCAAGGAGGCTGCTGTCTCCTGCCCCACTGCAGCAGGCAATTGGACTAGGCCTGGAAAGCAGCGGGAGGCCCAAGTGTTGGAGCAGGGGACAAGTTTCCAAATACCCAGGGCCTGAATCACTTCTGCCCTGGAAATGAAAGGAACATGGGTGCTGTGTTCCACGGCATGCCCAGCCCAGGGTAACCGGCTTTGCTGCCCCAGCAGCACAGGGCTTACGGAGAGCAAGACACCCCAGAGTATCCAGCCACCTGTCAGTCTGGGCCCTCCGCCCGCGTCGCCCCACACGGACCAGAGAGTGCCTCACGGCACGGCACCCCCTGGAGCCGGGGGAGGATGTCTCTGTGGCTAGCGCTCGCCCAGAGTGGGCACGGGGCTGCAGTGTTTACCTTGTAGTGCTCAGCCTCATCCTCCGGGGTCCTGAGCAGCTCCTCCAGGGTCCGCACCTCCTCGCTGGTGAGGTCAGCACAGTAGGGCTCAACGGAGGCCCAGAACCTGCCGGCAGAGGGAAGGGCAGAGCTGCTGACCTGAGCGTGGCTGCCCTGTGCCCAGGTGATGGGCTCCGTGCCCGAGGACAGTGCGGTGAGACCCGACTGCTCCTTGCCCTGCATCTGGGGGGCTTTGCTCACCAGGCAAATGAGGTCGTTTCCTTGGGAACCCCCACGGCCCCAGCTGGACCCCTCCATACCTATTTGGGGCGTCATTTTTGGGGATCCGAGGCACGTCCACAGGGTCGTCTGGAAACTCATATTCTTGAATCTTGGGCTGGAGGTTCTTGGATTTGGGCCGCCCTGGGCCAGGCCCTGTGCCATGCCCACCCTTCCCCTCTAGCTTCTGCTTCTTGGGCTTTCCATGTTTCACGGGGGTACCCAGTTCATGCTCCTTGCCCAGCTTCAGGAACCGCTTGTCCCCCTTCTTGTCCTGCCAGTCGGTCAAAATCTGAAAGAGAACGGCTCAGCATCACCTCAGGGGCACAGCCCCCCACGGCTCAGCATCACCTCAGGGGCACAGCCCCCCACGGCTCAGCATCACCTCAGGGGCACCCCAGGAGTGCGGCCAAGAACCAGTTGGGGGAAGCAGAGGGTCTAGTTCCCACTGAATCCCTTGCCCTTGTTGAGCACTGTCTGCCCTTTATAGATCCTCTGTCCCTTCCCTATGACAACCATGGCGCAGCCCGTCCCCTCAGGCGCCTTCTCCCTGGGCTGGCTCCCCTCAAGCTCAGGGAGCACTGAGGAGAAGAAAGGAAGGGAAGGAGGTGCCAGGCTGCAGCAAGCAGGGTTGTGCCGCGGCGGAGGGGACCTGGATCCCTAGGCCAACCTGGCTCCCCCCACCGTATGGAGCAATTCCAGGGACAGAGGACACAAGCCAGGAGGCCTCGTTGCCAGGCCAACCCGCAGAGCGGGGACCCTGCTGCAGGCCTATGCTGCAGCCAGCCTGTTCGGCCCACAGGGCGTTCCTCATGCAGCCTGAGTCCTGCATAGCACAGGGCCTGGCCACGGCCCCGGCTCAGCCCCACCAGCGGAAGGACCACCCCTCCCATTTCACTGCCGTGCCGTGTGCTGCGAGCAGCTGGCACTAGTGAGGCGCTTAGGACGGGTTCGTGAGCGTGACTGAGATGGAAGGAGGATGTGGCACCCAGCTGACAGCTGCTGCTCTGGCACTCGCTGCTGACAAAAGCTGTTGGCTCTCAGTCGGGGTGGGGAACCTCTCTTGGGTCGGGCTGCTGACCCCCAGGAAAAAGTCAGTGGGGGCCCACACACAAGTGAGAAGCAAAAAACCCCCAAGCCGTTCCTGACGTGGCCTGTCTGAGAAGGAGAAAGATCCTCCCCACGTCCCCCCAGAGCCTCGTGGTGCCCAGGCTAGTAGACCTTGTGTGCTCCCAGTCACAGCACGGCAAGGGGAAAGGGGCTCCCGGCCTGTCCTGCCTCTGCACTGCCTGTCTGAGAAGGAGAAAGATCCTCCCCACGTCCCCCCAGAGCCTCGTGGTGCCCAGGCTAGTAGACCTTGTGTGCTCCCAGTCACAGCACGGCAAGGCAGCGTGTGGAGCCTGGGAGCTGGATTTCTGGGGCCCAGCCAGGACAGGTGGGGGTTAGCCTGCCAGGGCAATGCTGAGTGGAGCCACCAGTCAACCCCGGTTCCTTGCCACGAGCCAAGCCCTGAGCTGCCCAGCCCCCGCAAGCTACGCCCATGCCAGGTTCAGCCACGGCCTTTCTGCAGCAGAGGCAGCAGGTTTCTTTGGCCGTGCTGCCTGGCGTCAGCCTGGGGAGACGCTCTCCCACCTTGCCCTCCCAAATTCAGGTCCTACACTCCACAGGTTGGCGCGCCCCGGGGC